GACATCAATGTATAGATCTTCCAGACAGAAAATCAATAAGGCAACAGAGGTCCTAAAATGACACTAGACCAGTTGGCCTTAACTGATATCTATAGGATGGACACTACATTAGAAAAAAATTCTTTTTAAGCACACATGGAACATTCCCTAGAATAGACCATATACTAGGTCATAAAATAAACCTCAACAAATTTAAGAGGACAGAAATTATTTCAAGCATATTTTTTGACCACAATGATATGACATGAGAAATCAACCACAAAGAAAAACAGGAAAAAACAAAACAAAACAAAAAACACATGGAGACTAAATAATATGCTACTAAAAACCCAATAGGTCAATGATGAAATCAAAGAAGAAATCAGAAAATACCTTGTGACAAACAATAATAAAAACACAACCTTACAAAAATCTATGGAATACAGCAAAAGCAGTTCTGAGAAGTTCATAGCAATACAGGATTTCCTCAAATAAGAAAAATCTCAAACAACCTAACCTATCACCTAAAGAATTAGAAAAAGAAGAATAAACAAAACCTAAAGTAAGCAGAAGGAAGGAAATCATAAAGATCAGAAAGAAAATAAATAAAATGGAGATTTTTAAAAAATAGAAAAGATCAATAAAACCAAGAGCTGGTTTTTTGAAAAGATAAAATAGACAAACTTCTAGCCAGGCTCACCAAGAAGAAAAGATACAAGAAGTGAAAGAGGAGAAATAACAACCAATACTGCAGAAATACCAAAAATAAAAAAAAACATAAGACAATACTATAAACAGTTGTATACCAACAAATTGGACAACTGGAAGAAAAGAACAAGTTTCTAGAAACCAATGGCCTGCCAAAACTGAGTCAAGAAGAAAGATAATTTGCACAGACCAATCACTAGAAGTGAAACAGAATCTGTAATAAAAAAATTTAAAAACAAAACCTCCCTGCAAACAGAAGTCCAGGACTTGATGGCTTCACTGGGGAAATTCTACCAAACACAGAACGAACTTACACCTATCCTTCGCAAACTATTCCAAAAGACTGAAGAGGAGGAAACACTCTCAAATTCATTCTAGGAAGCCACCATCACCCTAATACCAAAACCAAAGACACTACAAATAAAAGAAAATTACAGGCTAATATCTTTGATGAATATAGATGCAAAAATCCTCAACAGAGTGCTGGCAAACTGAATCCAATAATACATAAAAAGGATCATACACCATGATCAAGTTGGATTCATTCCAGAGTTGCAAGGATGGTTCAACATACAAATCAATGTGACACACCATGTTAAGAAAAGGAAAGACAAAAACCACATGATTATCTCAATAGATGCAGAAAAATTATTTGATAAAATTCAACATCCACTCAAATTCAACATCCAAAGTGGATATAGAGGGAACATATCTCAACATAATAAAAGCCATTTACAACAAACCCACAGCCAATATAATACTCAACAGTGTAAAGCTTAAAGCCTTCCTATTAAATTCAGGAACAAGACAATGATGCCCACTCTCACCACTCCTATTCAACAAAGTATTGGAAGTCCGAGCCACAGCAATCAGATAAGAAAAAGAGAAGGTACCCAAATTGGAAGTAAAGAGGTAAACTGTCACTATTTGCAGATGACACAGTTCTCTATATAGGGAACCCTAATGACTCGACACAAAAACTATCAGAATAAAAGAAATCAGCAAGGTAGCAGGATACAAGACTAATATACAGAAATCTGTTGCATTTATTTACACTAACAATGAAATATCAGAAAGAGAAAGTTTAAAAATTCTGTTTAAAATCACATCCAATTAAAAAAAAAAAAACAACCTAAGAATAAATTTAACCAAGGAGGTGAAAGACCTATACGCTAAAAACTATAAAACATTGATAAACTAAGTAAATTGAAGATGATTCAAAGAAATGGAAAGATAGCCCATCCTCTTGGATTAGAAGAATTTATATTGTTAAAATGGCCATACTACTCCACAAGCAATCTACAGATTTAATGCAATCCCTATCAAAATACCCATGACATTTTTCACAGAACTGGAACAAGTAATACTAAAATGTATATGGAGCCACAAAAGACCTAGAATTGCCAAAGCAATCCTGAGGGAAAAGAGCAAAGCTGGAGGCATAACTCTCCTAGACTTCAGACAATACTACAAAGCTACAGTAATGAAAACAGCATAGTATTGGCACAAAAACAGACACAAAGATCAATGGAACAGGATAGAAAGCCCAGAAATAAACCCATGTACTTATGGTCAATTAATCTATGACAAAGGAGGCAAGAACATACAATGGAGAAAAGACAATCTCTTCAAAAAGTGGTGCTGGGAAAGCTGGACAGCTACATGTATATCAATGAAATTAGAACACTCCCTCACACTGTACACAAAAATAAACTCAAAATAGTTTAGAGACCTAAATATAAGACACAACACCATAAAACTCCTAGAAGAGAACATAGGCAAAACATTCTCTGACATAAGTCATAGCAATATTTTCTTAGATCAGTCTCCCAATGCAAAAGAAATAAAAGCAAAAATAAACAAATGGGACCTAATCAAACTTACAAGCTTTTGCACAGCAAAGAATACCATTGACAAAACAAAAAGACAACCTACCTAATGGGAGAAAATGTTTGCAAACGATGTGACTGACAAGGGGTTAATATCCAAAATATATAAGCAAGTCATACAACTCAATATTGAAAAAAGAAACCCAATCAAAAAATGGGCAGAAGGTCTAAACAGATGATTCTCCAAAGAAGACACACAGATGGCTAACGGGCACATGAACAATGTTCAACATATTAATTATTAGAGAAATGCAAATCAAAACCACAATGAGGTATCACTTCACATTGATCAGAATGACCATCATCAAAAAGTCTACAAATAATAAACGCTGGAGAGGGAGTGGGGAAAAGGGAACCCTCTTACATTGTTGGTGGGAATGTAAATTGGTGCAACCACTATGGAGGTTCCTTCAAAAACTAGAGTTACCATATGATCCAGCAGTCCCACTCCTGGGCATATATCCAGAAAAGATTAAAACTCTTAACTCAAAAAAATACATGCACCACAATGTTCAGAGCAGCACTGTTTACAATAGCCAAGACACAGAAACAACCCAAGTGTCTATCAACAGACAATTGGTTTAAGAAGATATGGTATATGTATACAATGGACTATGACTCAGCCATAAAAAAGAATAAAGTATTGCCACTTGCAGCAACATGGGGTGACCTAGAGGATACAATACTAAGTGAAGTAAGTCAGACAGAGACAAATATCATATGATATCATTTATATGTGGAACCTTAAAAATAATACACATGAATGTATAGACAAAACAGAAACAGACTAATAGACATAGAAAACAAACTTATGGTTACCAAAGGGGAAAGGGATAAATTAGGATACAAACTACTATACATAAAATACATAGGTAATAAGGATTTACCGTATAGCACGGGGAACTATATTCTATATCTTATAATAATATAGAATGGAAAATAACCTAAAAAAAATACACACACACACACACACACACACACACACACACATACAGCTGAATCACTTTACTGTACACCTGAGACTAATATAATATTGTAAATCAACTAAAATTTAAAAATAAATTAGTGAGTTCCCTGGTGGCCTAGTGATTAGGATTCTGGGCTTTCACTGCCATGGCCCAGGTTCAATCCCTGGTCAGGGAACTGAGATCCCACATGCTGTGTGGCTTGGTAAATAAATAAATAAATAAACAAATAAATTCTTTCAGAAAATTAAAAAATAAATAAAAATTAAAAAAAGAAATATATGCATCTGTGCACCAAAAGAATGCTGATAGCAGTATTGTTTGTAATGGCCAAAAACAAAAAAACCAACAACAACAACCAAAAAACCCAAACAGAGAGAGAGGAAACAATACAAATGTCCTCCAAGAACAGAATAAATTGTGGTATGTTTGTACAATGGAATTATATATAGCAATGAAAATATAATGACAGGCAATAACATAACATCAATGACTCTTTCAATATGGAAAAAGAAGCTAAACACAAAAGAGTACATTCTGTAGACCCCACCTATTTATATATAGTAATTGAAAAACAAGCAAAACTAATCAATCTATAATGTTACAAATCCATATACTGGTTACCTGTGGGGACAAGATGGGTTAGGGATTAACAAGGGGCACAAGGTGAGCTTCTAGGCCACTGATAATGTTCTAGTTCTTGATCTGTGAGGTAGTAGGAAGTACCCTAATGATCTGTGCATTTTTCTACATTTCACTTTTATAAAAAATGAAAAAATACTTTAACAAAAAATTATGAAGCAAATGTTAACACATTAAATTTAGGTGATGGGTGTTTAGATATTCATACCACTATTTCCTGTAAGTCTTCCATTTGAAAATTATTAATAAAGTCAAAATAAAATTATATGGGGGGAGGGATGAGAAAAGGACAACTCTTGGTAACCCACATGTTCTCAAAAGTATGTTTAACTACAGCAAACTAGATAACATTATCTAGCTCACAGATTCATTTTTCCTAAAATAGAAAGGGTTGGAAACAAATTAAACCCACTAATACTATAACCTCTGCCACAAGACATTCTGCAATCATTACTGCTCATGTCATATTATACAAAAGTATATCTTGGATCAAGTCAAAATAAAGGGCAAAGGTTTTCAGAGCCTGCAGCAGCTACCTAAAAAAAAAAAGATGGTCTTTAATCTCATTATTTTAACCTATTAACGTGGTATTTACTGTGAAATGCTTGCCCAGAGGGCCTTCTGCTACTTTGTTTTTATTTTGTTAATTTCCAGCTATTAGATTAGTAGGGTTGATAAAGAGTAAATGTTTATGTGTAATTCTAAATATCTGGGATATTAGGAATTAGCAGGTGACAATTTAAAATATAATTATCCTAACTTTAAAACTGTCATTGTGCTTTTAAACACTGTTAGGAGACAACATAGAAAAACTTACCTTTCCAACAAATGGAACTAGATGATGTTCACACATGGAAAACATGTCTATGTCCTTCACAATCACCATCTCATCATGATCTTCATCAAATATAGCATCATTTAGGACATCTGAAATCAGAGGCTTGCTTTAGTAACGTTTCCAATTTTATAGTAAGATAAAGAATAGAAAAGCTAACACCCTGTAGGTACATTGACAGTCAACATAAGAATGTTAATCCTAACTAAAATATTAATGGTATGCAAATTAAAACTAGTTATTTTTCTCCCACCACATTAGCAAAGTCTTTTTCTTTAAATGGTGAGGAAAATCCTTATGATGTGGTATTACATAAAAAATGCAGGATTACCAATGTATTTGTAGCATAGGAGAGGAAGGAAAAAAGAGGAAGGGAAGAAAGGAGATAGAATATGCAAAACAAAAGAATGGGTATTTCTGGCGATAGGAATGGTCTACTTTCACTTCCTTCCTTACATTTTCCTGTACCTAACACTTTCTCTATAACAAATGTGTAGAAAACTATATCTGAGAATAAACCAATTCTTAACTCTCTGATTTCTGAAGCTAGATCCAGATACCCATAAACTTGACCTCTGTTATTACCACCCCAAATCATTTTCTATTCTTATAAAATTTTCTAGTTATTGTATGCAAGCATCAGACTCATTCTAAACAGTTGCCTTCCTCCTCCCTTCCTAAGGAAATTAATTCTATAGTTTTTATGTGTGTGCCTGTCCAGGTTGGCTTTGGGTGATGAACAGTGTCTTGTTTAACCTGTGGACTCTGTAATGTAGGGCCAGGCTTACAACAGACATTTAGAAACAAAAACTTTATTTTTAAAAACTGCACTCATATCTGAACAGCTTGGCAGACTAGATATATTCAAGTCATCTAGGTATGTGATTTCAAGGATTTGGGGATACCCAATCTACACAGCATGAGACAGAAGGGAGGAGATGAACAGAGCTTTGTAGCCACATCCTGCTATTTCCCCTTGGAAAGGCAGGCTGCTGAGTGAGTCACAGGGAAGATGTGCAAATGTCCACCCACACAGCCTGACCTTCAGTGGCTCCGCTGCTACCAGAAGAGAGGCTCACAGATATTGAGTTATCATTTAACCACAGTTGTCATCCCCCGATTCAGGCCATTCAGAGACACATTTGACTGTGTAATACAGCAGTTACTAGTGTGGTAAACAAAAGTGAACATGTGGGGTTTGGACACAGAGATAAACATGACACCCTGGTTAAGAGAGGCTAAAAAAATCCAGGGAGGAAAAGGCTCAGGTCCATTCTTTAAGTAAATACCCCTCCAAAAGCAGTTTTCTCTTCTGAATACTCTGTCCTAACCTTCAGTCCTATTTTTGAAAGAAGTCCAAAAATAGATCCTCAATGCTCCCCAAAGTATCTTGGAGTTCTCCATGATTTTAATGTAATGTCACTGCCATGCATAGCTGACTAAATAAAATCTTTAGTCACACAAGGAATCTTCCTGAAAGTAAAAACAAAAAAATTTTTCTAAAAGAACAAAAGAGAATTGTCAAATATAGGAAATGTTCATTTGTTTTCTCTGGCAAAAAATGAGAGCATCCCCATTCTAAGCTCTGACGACAACCATATGGCACGTGTTAAATGCTGGCCCTCAAGTTAGGCTTATGTTAGCATCTGGCTCCATTGCTAACTGCTGATCCTTGGGCAAGGCACTCTGTGCCTCAATCTTCTCAGCGATAAAATGGGCATGAAAAAAGTATCTACTTCAGAGAGGTATCCTGAGGATTAAATGAGATAATCCACTTGTGTTTAGAAATATGCAGGTGGGGTATGCGATAGATAATATTATTACTATTACTATAATTAAGATTAAGAGAGTTGCTAAGCTATGTTCCCATGCACATTGATGTACACCAGAATTTAAAAAGCAATAATTTGCTTCTAAGGAACAGACTGCAGAAAAGGAAAAGTAATAAATTTACTATGGAGAAACCTGGCAGACACTACTTTAATCAAATAATTAAGGTTAACTTTACTAGTAATAAGACATACTGATATCATGTAGCTCCTGACATAAGACCATGAGAAGGGCACATCACCTCTGTGGAATTCTTCCCCAAAATCTGTAACTGCAGTCTAATCACCACACAAATTGAGGGACATTCTCCAAAATATCTAAAGAAGAACTCTTTTTAAAAAGACATGGAGGGAATTTCCTGGTGGTCCAGTGACTAGGACTCCACACTCTCACTGCTGTGGGCCTGGGTTCAATCCCTGGTTGGGGAGCTCAGATCCCACAGGCCACGCGGCGTGGCCAAAAAAATAAATAAATAATTTTAAAACAGACATGGAAAGACTAAGGAACTGTCCATGCTAGAGGAGACTAAAGACACACGACAACTAAAAGCAACAGAAAAACTAAAATCCAAATAAAGCCTGTAGTTTCGTTCATAGTGTTGATGATTGCACCATGGCCATGGGAGATGTTAGCATTAGAGGAAGCTTGGGAAAGGGTATATAGAGAATCTCTCTTACTATTTTTATCATTATTCTGTAAGTCTAAAATTATTTCAGAATAAAAACTTTTAAAAAGCACAACAGAGGGACTTCCCTGGTGGCGCAGTGGTTAAGAATCCGCCTGTCATGGGCTTCCCTGGTGGTGCAGTGGTTGAGAGTCCGCCTGCCGATGCAGGGGACATGGGTTCGTGCCCTGGTCCGGGAAGATCCCACATGCCGCGGAGCGGCTAGGCTCCCGTGCTCCGCAACAGGAGAGGCCACAACAGTGAGAGGCCCGCGTACCACACACACAAAAAAGAATCCGCCTGCCAATGCAGGGGACACGGGTTCAAGCCCTGGTCCAGAAGGATCCCACGTTCCGCGGAGCAACTAAGCCCGTGCGCCAGAACTACTGAGCCTGCGCTCTAGAGCCCACGAGCCACAACTACTGAAGCCTATGCACCTACAGCCCATGCTCCACAAGAGAAACCACCACAATGAGAAGCCCGCACAGCGCAACAAAGAGTAGCCCCCGCTTGCCGCAACTAGAGAAAGCCTGTGCACAGCAACAAAGACCCAATGCAGCCAATAAATAAATAAATTAAAAAAAATAAATTAATAAAAAAAACACACACAACAGAACAATGCCCATTAACTGGAATATATAAGCAATGGAGCACTACTCAGCAATAAGATGGGATAAAATAATGATTCATGTACTAAGATGGTTGAACCTCTGAAGAATTACAGTAAGTAAAAGAAGTCAAAGACATACACACACAAAAAACTATGTGAGATTCTAGGAAAAGCAAATATAGTGATAGAAAGCAGACAGAAAGTTTACCAGAGACCACAGAGGTGCAACAGAGGATTGGCTGCAAAAAGATATGAAGACATTTTTTTTTGGTTGATGGAAACCATCTAAACCTTCGTTGTACTGGTGGCTATGAGTTTGTCAAAATTAAAATTGTGCACATAAAGTTGGTAAATTTTATTGAATATAAGTTACACCTTAATAGAGCTAACTTTAAAAAAAAAACTGTGGCATACAGGGACTTCCCTGGCAGTCCAGTGGTTAAGACTCCACACTTCCACTGCCGGGGCCACTGGTTCTATCCCTGGTTGGAGAAGTAAGATCCCGTGTGCCGCGCAGTGCGGCCAAAAATTAAAAATAAAAACCAAAAAAAGTTTAAAAGCTGTGGTATATTATGAAACCTTTTGTGTAAAAGTCGAAAGGAGATACGAACATATACACACATATATATGCTTATCTTCAAAAGGAAACACTAGAAGAATAAATTAAAAAGCAAATAAAAATGATTACCCATAAAGGACTAAAAGAACAGGCAAAAAGGGATATGATAAAATGAGACATCTTTGAAGAAAATTTGTTACATAATTTTGACTTTGAAATCATGTAAATGTTTTACATACTCAAAACTAAACTAAAAAGAAAACAACTAGCGACCCCATACGTTGTGATGCTTTGTGTGATAATGGAGCATTGATGCTTTGCCTATATCCCATTTCATTAAAATGGACCCAGACTATAAACTTGACCCAGCCTAATCATTTTCCTTCAGTAATGAAGACTCCCTGCTATATTTATTTATGTTTTGCTCCAACATATCTGAAAGCTACTATCTGTGGCTAATAAGAACAAAACACTATCATGGATTGTTTTAATTTCCTGTCTGTTATCAGCAGCAAGGAGGTAACCCTGGAAACAAGGATTTGTGGCATTCTATTTCCCACTGTTGGTCATAACCAACAAAAGAAACCAAAGCCACCTCCAAAAGTTGAAGGCCTATCTATAACAACACCACACACAAAAGGTATAAAAGTATACCTTTCTCATGTCATTAGTGACTAAGCAATGACAACAAACAACCCTGCTGGGCAGCCACCCCTCAAGCATTTTGTCCCCTCCTGAAAGTGCATTAAGGCAGGCCCACAAATGATCCAGAGTATTTAAGCACCCTCTGAAGCAGAAGTTCTGACTCTCCCAGTGAGCTTGTTAAAACACAAATCCCTGGACCCCACCCCCAGAGCATCCCATTTAGGAGGTTTGGGTAAGCCTCAGAATTTGCATTTTTAACAAGTTCCCAGAAGATGCTAATGCTCCTGGTCTGGGAACCACACTTTGAGAGCCGCTGTTTTGAGGTATTCCATATTCTGTGCTGCTACATAGAATCTTTACATCTTGAAAATGCTCCTACTGATACATCATATATATTAAGGAACACAGACCTGTTTCTGCTGGGGTAAAAGGAAACTCCTAGGGGAAATTCCACACAAAAGGAAAATCTAAGGAACTTTCTTTCGCATGAGTGTTAACAGTAATTAGCACTATCCTGGATGTTTCGTGATCAGCACCAAAAATTAGAGATCTCTGAGGAAGTCAGAATTGCACAGGTGATCCATCTTCCTGGAGGACAGCATTTAAAGACAATGGAAGAAGACCTGGAATGCTGAAGATGCGTCCATCCTAAGGGACAGGAAAGAGAGAATGGGGTCTGCTTACCGGTTTTCGAATTAAGAGAGAACAAGACGCAGAGAGTGAGACCTAACAAGGCATCAGGCCTCTTCGCTCTTGGCTGGAATTAAATCAACTCAAGGGGCTA